TTTTTTTACAAAAGTTAAGGCTGTCCAGATCTTAGATGCAGAAAATCTGCGGTCCCCTAAAATGTCATGTTATACTTTCACATCGAAAGCAGGTTTTGTTTTTTTGCGCTACAGTTCTGGCCTTCTTATGTTAGACTGGGGTGGAGAGGGAAGCAGAGGCCGATTTAAGTCATATAAAAGTTAAGGGTCGGGGGCGAGGCTGGTCTAGGGTTCCCTGGTAAAATTGCCCTTTGAAACTTTCAGGATGTCATTTTTATTCTATCCTTTTCTACATTCAAATAATAAGTATTCTAGTTTTTGTTAGATTGGGGATTTTATTATGAAGTTCGCCGAAGCTATGAACATACAGACACATAACTGCACCGTGCCCCTCAGAAAAGACTAACTTTTCTTTTTCCCTAGAAAATGCAGGCAGCTTTTCTTGATAAGAGCAGAAGGGAACTATGCAATGAGGGTGAACTCGCCGCAGGACTCAAAGACCCCATCTTGCTCATGATTTTGAGCTGCTCTGTGACATATGCTATAACTCCACGTACCAGCTGGTGGCATTAGCCCACAGGACAGAGGGTCTCTCAGGTCCTATCCTAGTCAGTGGAGTTCCATGCACCTGGCATAGTACATTAAGGAGCTTCTAAAACTTTGCATATTTGTAATGTTTCTGACACTTAGGTTTTAGCTATGTGGTGAACCTGTGGTTTCAATAACAAATGCACATTTTGCAAAAATACAACATAAAGCTGCTCACCTTGGAATTTATTGTTAACAAAGCAACAACGAGGGAGATGAGAATATTTCCATAAGGAATGGGGCCTTCGCTGAGTTTAACTCCACAGGGAGGTCTAGTGACAAACAGAGACAGCTGGGCTTCTAGATTTAAGTAAAAACAAAGAAAGTCCTCTGGGCACACTTTGTCTATGTTCATCTGTGTTTTATTATTTTTTAATTGAATCGACTGGGGTGTCATTGGTTAATAAAATTACATAGGTTTCAGGTATGCAATTCTATAATACATCACTTGTATATTGTACTGTGTTCACCACCCAAAGTCAAGTTTCCTTCTGTTCGTCTGTGTTTTAAATTGGCAGGAAAATGCTTTTAAAAAGGAAGCACTGTTTTGGTGGTTCAGTTTTTGCCTCTATCACCATATCCCCTCCTCCTCTCTTGCTACCAGTTCGTTCATTGGAATGAAATAAATGGTCATTGCCAAGGGTATTGTGTGGTCCCTCGAAATGGAATTCTGCAGAAGTGAAGAGAAATAGGCTGTTTTCACACTTGGCCTCAATGTTTTGCTCCAGAGATATTGTATCTCTAGACATATAGTTTCCCCCCTTTTATAAAAACTTGACCCTACCCAAAATAAAATATTCTACTTGCATGCAGGAAAAACACGGCTATCACCAGGAAGATGGAATATGTGGGGATTTGAAGCAGATACATGTCTATCAACAGTTCAGAAAGAAGTCAAATCAGATGAACACTAGAATTTGTTCGAGTTTCCTGAAAATCTTTGAATAATTGTAGGTTGCTCAGGAGATGGAAGGAAACCACGTTTGGGGTTTGGCCAGAAGGGAATTCCCTAGCCCCTTGCCCTCTCTACTCCCAATATTAAGTGACATCATTGGACATTGTCAAATCACTGCTAGAGCCAACTAATGTTTGCTTATATAAGGAATTAATATACTGATGGGTAACAGAGGGACGGGTAAACAAGAATTTCCTGTAGTTTGTTCTATGACATATCAAACAAACAAAAAGTCAAGGATATATGAAACAAGTCAACAAGATTTTTCAGGGCATGTAAGGTTAAACTTATCATTTTAACCATTAAAGGATCTTTAATTCGATGCCACTGAAAATCTATTTATAAACAAATAAAATATTCCTTCTCTTCCTCTTTCCATTTATGAGGGAACTAATGATATGGTTTTAAAGAAAGTCCAACTAACCATTAGCTCAAAAAAGATCATGGTTCTGTAGCTTCATTACTGATGCTCTAATTAGTCTGGCCTATATAGTCCAGCAGTCGCCAACCTTTCAGACCTCAGGAACCACCAGGGGTCCCCGGACCACCGGTTGGCAACTGCTGATATAGTCAATCACAGAGAACGCCAATGACTGTTCACACTCACAACTGGATATCTTCCTTAGGAAGGGTAGCTACTTGTTGCTGCAGGTGGGACTGTAGCTCTCATCCCATAAAAGTACCGGCTGAGCCCGAATCCCCCCTTAGAATAGGAAAAGGATACAAAGTATGCAAATATATATATATATATATATATGCCACGTTCAAACACTCCTGCATTCACTGTGGCCACAGATCATTTTAATAAAAGCAACACATCTTACTTTGAAAACCATTACATGATCAGCTGTGTAGTAAACATATAGAGAGCACTCTAAATTCATATAGCTTGCTACTCCCTATAATAATAATTGGTGAATGAGAGTGCAGGCTATCATTAGTTTTTCACGTCTTCTGTACAGCATTGTAGTGAGAGGTGCAGATCAGCATCTTCATGAGAAACTAGTTCATTTATGGGAGGAAGGGCAGGTCATTTCAGGGAATTCTCTGTCCAAGATGACTCAGATTCTGACGATCAGCCAGCAAGCCCAAGGGTTCTAAGTTCCCCCATTCCACTCACTAACTGTGCTTTTAAAAACTCATATTGTAAAGAAGTGGGGGGAAAAATAAAACTCATATTGAATAGTTTTAATCCCCAAGGGAATAAAAAAAAAAGAGAAGCTGTGGTACACTTTGAGTGTTTGCTTTCTTAAATAAATTGTTAAAATAATAGATTGTCCAACACATGGCAACTGTTTTCTTTTTCCATGTAAGTGGGCTTATCGGGCATGTCATTTTATTTATCATTTAAATGATGCCTTAGTGACCACTTGCTGAGGAGCAGGAAGCTGAGTGAGATTTATAGGCAGCAAAACCAGGTATTATTTCCAGATAACAGAACAGTTTTAGTCCATTGCAGCTGCTTGCGTGAAGCTGAGATTTAGAGATAATTCCCTCAACTGTTCAAAACCAAGCCATGGATGAAATCGTCTCAGAAAGCAGAACTTAGCTCTTTTATTTTTCCCTTCTTTCACTTGTTTTGTTTACATATCGGTGATAAAATGACTCACTTTGTGCAGTATTAGAGAAAAATTAATGTTGAACAATAAAAATATTATTTTCTTTTTGATTAGAATGCATATAATTTCAAGCCAAAAAATAAAAAATACTACTAGATTTAGCACTGAGAAAGCAAAAAATTAGAGCAAATTTAGTTGGTTCTGTAGTCAAATTCTCTAAAGATTACCTTATTTTTTTCTCATCTACTTTTCACAGAAGTTAGGCTTGATGCAGTATGCCTATTGCATGTTTTTTGAAACTACCTTCTATAGAACACAGATAATATTGTGAATGATTTGTAACAATGCTATTAACATTTGGGCAAATAACTTAAAGTTAAGATATCTCTGTTACTAAAATCAGTTAAAACTTACACCTTTATTTTATTACTATATGATCATGGTATTAAATTGCTTCCCTTTGGTTTTACTATATGTGTGGCTGTTTGCTTCGGGGAGTGCCAAAAATTTATTTAAAGAATTGTTCATTGTGTTCTAGACAGAAACTATTCTTCGATGTTCTGAAATCTCCAGAAGTTTAAGAAACATGCTTTAAGAAGCTCAGTTACGTGCCACTCAATCAACCAGTATTTGTGGAAGGAATTTAAGCACCTAATGTGCTTAAGGACAGGTTTTTCTTAATCTTTTACATTTTTTTTTTTACATTTAAAATTTTTTTGAGGGATGGATGAACCTACATGCTAACATTATGTGAAACATTCTCTTTCTTGTGGGGACAGAAAGAAAAGAGACCGGAAGTAAGGCTCTGGAATCAACTGGGCAGGTGAGATGGACAGGTCTCAGTTACAGCACCATCCGCAATGAAGTGGGACCATCACAGCCGCCACTGTGGGTCAGAAAGACTGTTCTAGAAATATGGTCACTGCAGAGATACGCCTCAAAATGATCCCTTCGTTGGAAAGAGAGGAACAAGATCAGAAAACGTCCGTGGAAAAGCAAACAATATAAAAATTTACATTGTTCCGAGAGAACAGAAGCAAGGCCAGTGCTCTTGCCTACGTTTGGAGATCACTACCGATGCCGAAAACAATGTTTGTTTCACGTCCTTAGAAAATTAAAAAAATGGTGCTTCTTGTATAAAGGGTCCACCAGGGAAGCCATGAATGAGGGACAGGTGCTGGTGGGCGGGTTAGGGAAACCAGTCCCTAGGTTCCAGCTGTGACAAGCCCTGGGTTCTTTTCTTTCACTTCAGCTTCATTTCGGGTGTAACAGAAGGAAAGCCAGAGATGCGCGACACTGTCCTCTGGAAGCTCACGTAAGGCAGCAGAAAGCATCGCCCTAGATGGACAGATTAAGTGAGGTCCACTTCTGGCTACACTAGTGACCGGCTAGAGCCAACAGCGTTTTGCCACACAAGATATAAAAGCACAGATCCACAGCAAGGGAGGCAAGGGAGACACCAGCGGTGTGGCGATGTGTGAGTACAGGATGGGAACACACTACAGAATGAACCCCGGGGCCACCGGGGTCGGTCCCAGTCGAGTGGATTAAGGCTACTATGTAACTCGCTGCCGTGGAGAGTCCATCCCAATCGAGCAGGAAGGAATTGGTTCGCTCTTGAAGACACAGGGAAAGGTTCAGAGCAAGAGCAAGTTCTTGGAAAGAATGAAGCACACACATGCACGCTGTCTCTGAGGTGAGGAAACTGGAGATACACGCAAAGGGTAGAAAATAAGAGAGAGCAAAGCAATCCGACTGCAAGGCAGGCAGGCGCTGGCTTCCAGTTCACAGTATTGCAGTGAGTGGTACAGTGAGGTCTAGGTAAGTGGTGGGGAGCCCGGAGGCTGCCCCGAAGAAAGGGGAAGAGAGAAGTGGTCACATGACAACACAGCATTGACAGCGCTTTTTCTTTTGGGTACCTGCGGCTGGCTCTGTGGCCAGGCTCTCTTCCTTCCCTTCTGGGGATGAGGGCTCGGTGGTGTCGGAGATGGGCCTCCCAGACACCAGCTCCGCCGCATTCCCGTCGATTGTGGACACGTCCGTCACGGTCTTCTCCCTCAAGGACTTCTCGTCGTCTTCGTCAATGAGGACCAACTCAGCCTTGATGGTTTCATCGTAGCCTAGCACCTTTTTTGTCTCCTCTTCGTCCTCAATGTTTTGGTAGCCCATGAAAATCATGGTGACGGGCTGATCCAAGTTCGCCTGCGGGCCCTTCAGAGCTGGGGGCTCGGGCCTGCTGCCCTGGGTTCCCGGAGGAGCGGTCCTTCCTAGACTTATGGACCATTTCTAACTTGGCCTCTTTGCAGAGCACGTGTTCCTTAGGGTGGCCCAGGCTCCCATCTGCAACCGCAGTCCTCTCTGACACACGCCCGCCTCTGAGGCTTGACTGTCCAGCCTTCTGAATGAGCTCTTCTACATCCTTGGAGCTTAATCTGTGCACTCCGTTCTCTACCACGGTGCCCGCTGAGCGCACCTCATACACTACTTTGGTACCATCCTCATAGACCTTGACTCCTCTCGGATGGACCCCCTCTGGGCCAATGGTGGCTGTAGAGAGAATCTTGGTCTCTCCTGTTTGTGTGTCTTTCTCCACATTAATTTCCATGGCGTACACAGCTTGAATGAAAACAAGAGAAAGGAAGTGCATGTTACAACAAAAAAAGCCAGTGAATGGTTAATTGCCAAACAGACAAAAAAAAGGTGTTGTGCCCTGTCTAGTCTAACGGCCAAGCGTCGTGAGTGTTAGCGTGCATGCGCGGTGTGGACAGAGGTGGGTACACATGTGTTTAGCACAGCAGCTTAATGCACGGGGAGGACAGGGGTAGAGAGGCCCCGCATCTCCGTGGCACTTACGCTTCTGAGGAACAGCTGCTGCCACACAGCCCACAAGCGACTGTTTATATCCAGTGCGACAAGTTCCAGGGAGGCTGGCGACATGCGCGTTTACCTTGACTGACAGCTTACCCTCAGCTTAGAGACAGTTTGAAAGCCCTTGGTTAAGATGTGTCCTAGTTCCAAAATCTGATATCTCTTTTTAACCCTTCCATCAAGGGTTCCACGGCTTCTTCTACATTTCTCTTTACTGTTAATGGAGAATACGTAAAGGTTTTCGCAGGTGGGATGTGGCTGTCCTCCACTGTGCTATAAAGTAGGGTTCTTTGCAAAACTGGAAAGCTACCAAAGCAGTAAGACGATATGCTCTGTGAGTACTTTAGTCACTTAACTAGGTTTCTCAAACAAGAGCTAGACAAAGCACAAGATCGAGGCCGCGTCAACCCATGCCACTGGAGTTTGAGGATGAGGATCACAGAAGGTACCTCTTTCTTCTTCCATGTGCCCACCGCCAAGTCCTCGTGATTCCGCCACACACCACCTTTCTCATCTGTCACCTTTTTCGGCTCCATGGCCACTACCCCCACGCCAAGACACGATATCTTCTTCCCTGAGTGACTGCAAGAGCTTCCTATCTGGTCTTCCTGCTCTGATCTCACCTTCTCCAACTCACCCCAAACCCACTGCGGCCAGTGTGGGGTTCCTACAGTCTCAGGTGACACCCCATCCTTTCATATCTGTTACCTCAGAGGCGCACATTCTGATTGTGAGGAACCTGGGCATTAGACCCATAGAGCCAGTTCTCTACAGCACCCTTTCCCTGGGTGACCTGTGGGTACATCAACCTCACTGCAGCTTCAAAACGAAATCCATCGTCTTCCTTCCAGAGTCTTTGTGACAAATAATACCAGTACCACCGAGTGTCTCAAGCTTGGAATTGCACCCAATTTGTTTGTCCTTTTCTTCCTAATTGCCCAACAGCCAAACAATTGTTGAGAGTCACTAATCGCATTTCAGATCTGTCCCCCTGCATCTCCTCATCACTGCCCGCATCACCCCTAGGCCAGACCCTCCTCTGCTCTCTGCACAGTATCCTTGTTTCCATCTTATCTGCCACTTATGCTGGTCAAGGCCAGAGGGCCAGAGGTAGCCGAGGCTTGTTTTTGTTGCCTGGGAGCACTGAATTGTTTTTATATTATTAGAAGATAGTAAAGGGAAGGAAGGAAGAAGGAAGGGGAAAGGAAATAATATCAAAGACTATGTGATAGAGGTCTTATGTGCTCCACAAAGTCTGAAATATTTGCGATCTAGGTTTCTCAAACAAGAGCTAGAAAAAGCCTGCCGCCCCCTGCGGCCTATGCTCCATCCTCCCACAGTTACCTTACGCATAAACCCTCTGTTGGTTCCTCTGTCTGTAGGGGATAAACACCAAGCTCCTAAACTTGGCATACAATTCCCTTGAGAATTTGTCTGCAAACCTTTCTAGGCTTGACTTGTAGCCCCGCCCACTCCACTTCAGCGGTAACAGACTCCTCACCATTCCCAGGACACTCCACCTCCTTCCATCACCACCGTCCCTCTGCCTGGACTGCCTTTCATCCCTTCTCTACCGCAGTCTCCTGGAGTCGTGAGTCACGTCTCTGCTTATCATGCCTTGGAGTCCCCACCTCTTTCTGAATAACTGCAAGTCCTCCAACTGTGCTAAGAAGACCCTAAATATCTTTCCACTTGCATGTTCTACTGCTCCCTTTCCTCTAGCACAGTGGTTCTCAACCTTCTGGCCCTTTAAATACAGTTCCTCATGTTGTGACCCAAACATAAAATTATTTTCGTTGCTACTTCATAACTGTAATGTTGCTACTGTTATGAATCATAATGTAAATATCTGATATGCACGATGGTCTTAGGCGACCCCTGTGAAAGGGCTGTTCGACCGCCAAAGGGGTCGCAACCCACAGGTTGAGAACCGCTGCTCTAGCACAACCAAATAATGCCATTCCACACCTAAACTTTTCCTGCTTTTGGTAAGATTCCCTTCTCTTGAAATGTTCTTCTTTTGAGTTTCTATGCATCCAAATGGGACTTGTCCAGAGGAGCAGGTGGGACGTGGCTGTCCTCCATGTGCTGTCTTTGATCCTCCTGTCTCTAAGTCATCCCTCTCTTAATATTCTTTGGACACATCTTCTAAACCTCTCTGAAGATACTTAACACTTTTATCATACTTCACTCGGGAGTATAATTATGGGAATGTTTTATTAGCTCCACAGATTTTTAAGATCTATGAAGTCTAGTTATTTCACCTGACATCTCTCCATGACTGCCCTTCCCCATCAGCACCTACCTTAGAGTCTTTGGTACAGAAGGAACCTGATATACATACCTGTGAAACAGATGCTACTAAATGAAAATTCTAATTTGGTTGTCTTCATCTAGTCACAGAGACTTTGTATAATACGACACCAATGACAATGTACACACAGTAACTGATGTTTGAACTGTTTTAAAAAACGGGCCATGATATTGCTCCATCCGCTTGTGTAATAAGATACAACCTGTTCATGGCTGACACTTAACTATAAAAGGCTCTGAAGCAAAATCCAATGCTTGATTTTCATTGTGTCCATTTGGAAAGTTTCACGGTTTGGCACAAAGATCTTGAGTTTCCTTAAGTGATGCAATGGGAGGCCAACCAATATTTGTCATGGAGGTACATGGGCTCACACAATGACAGTGACATTTTCCCCAAAAATGTGTCATGAGAAAACTAGAATAGGCATTTAAAATTTTCCTTGGGCTCCAAAAAGTCAGTTCTTTAATTATCACACTTATATTAAAAAGCACATTTTGGCATTAAAATATTATGTCCTATCACTATAAACACACTCATGGGACAGATTTATCAATAAGAAGGGCAATAATGATTATTAGTTATAGGCACAATATTTAATTATCTCCCAAACATCCAGCAATATGCAAATAAAGTGACATTGTTACCTGTAATCAATACAGTCTGAAATAAAATATTTATATTTTCATATCTACATGACAGGATACAAATTATTAACATGGCAATCTTTAGAGATAGCCCTCTCCCTCTTCCCACCAATGAGAATGGTGTCACTGTTGGTCCATTTTTCCCTTCTCCACCCTAACCCTCAACCTCATTTTGTCTTTGCCTGTTTCTAGAATCAGAGACTAGACAGAGAGGAAGGACGTTGAGATGTTCTTTGCTAGAAGGACTGAGTAGATCCACACACTAACCAGTTGAGAAAGAAGGAGCTCATGGAAGAGAGAGTCAAAGCTGTGTGGGACACAGAGAAGGAACCGTGCGTGGTGTTAGATGGTGCTTTGGAGACAGTGATAAGTAGAGGGAGGTGAGGGAAGGAAATATAAGAAATATGTCTGGGTGGAGATATGCATTGGATTCCTTCTCATATCCTTCTGGGAAAAAAAAACAGCTAAAGAACAGGGTTCCTATTTATTTGTGTATTTATTTATTCATTCATGGCTGTGGTTTTAAACTGTATTTTGTTAAGCGTGACATGGCTTTGGACCTGAACCCCATGTCACATGATTTCAGTCGGGTTACACGTTACTATTTCTATTTACATGTTGTACACTGTTCTTCCAGTATTTCTGTATTAGGCCATTGAATACAACATCACTTGTATTCCCCGACCCCCACCCTGCCAGCTAGAACATAAGGCTTCAGAGCCACAGATTTTCAGCAGGTTCCTCCAGGGCTTGATCTCACATCGCGTGTCTGCATTCCCTCTCTTCGCTGGCAAGGGGTGCCCGGGTGCACATGGAGAAGCTCTGGCTTAACACAGGGGCAACATTGAGACGTCATGGATGCACATGAGAGGATACTGTCAGACATTCAGAAAACCAACCACACCGGAGGCACGAACGTTCACCTTCAATGTGTTGCTTATGAATAAGCATTTACATTTTGCTCCCGTTCTAGGCAATACCATTTCAAAGGTAAACTAGGGTGGATACGAAGCAGGAGGAAAAGAAGGCTTACGTTTTAAATTCAGCGTTTTGTTTCTCATGCTTGCCCACAGCGTTAAAAGCTCTGCTGCCTTTACTGCTGCCCAGGAGCGAATCCCAAGGACCTCTCACTGAATCGTGCCCTCATCTCCACCCACAGAGAAGGCTCTCCATCCACCCTTCCCGCCCCTCGAGCATCCCCACCCACAGGGACACTGCTGTCTGTGTAGTGACGAGGGTCCTGTGCTCATCTCCTTGAAAGCAAGAGAGGAGGAGGTGCTGCTCAGGGCAGAAGACTTTCTGGGGAGCCCCTAAAAGAGATTTTGAAAGAGCCCCTGGACATAAAAGTCTTTGAAGAAAAGCTGTCTGAAATGTCCTGGAGGAGGGTCTGGAGACAGAGCAAAAAGAAAGGATACAGTGCGAGGGGAGTTCCAGCGATGGGATGACTGAAGCCTGGACGTGTGTTCTTACCAGACAATAATTTAATTATCGATTTCCAAACATGGCTACTGATGACAAAAGGATTGTAGTGTAGGAGACATTCCTTCCAATAACCCCAAAAGACAGGGGAGAAAAACATTCACTTTGTTCATGAAGAGTAAGAGGCCGAGGCCGAGTAGCTGGTTTCGGCAGTGGGATGTGAACGAATGGCTGAACTGGGGCTTTGATTCTGGGCCTCAGGTTCTTACTCCCCCAGTAGCTCTCTGGTCAATGGGAAGAACCACTCTGAAGAAGCAGGAACGCTGTCATGGGGGATGCTCATCCCAGGATCCTGGCAACAGCCAGGTGTG